AAGTCCTTCTCCTCAGGGCTGCATACTATTTTACATATAAAATAGTAATTAAATACATATTCAGTGAAGCTTGCTTTGGAATGTTAAGATAATGTAATGTTTCTCTTTAAATGAGGCTTGCATTTCTTTAAGTTGATGTGGTATTTCTTTTTAAAGGGACACGGGGTGTGGTTTGATTTCTTCTGTTCTAGTAAACTACTGTTTTTTCAAGTTTTTCTCTGTCAGTTTAGAAAAGAACTTAGAAAAGGTCTTGTAAAAGCCTGTTAGAGATTACATCCTTGGTCCAAAACTAGATGTCTCAAGTTCCCTTCCCAGAACAGAAATGAATATAGAACAGAAATTTTAAAACCCCTGCCTTCAAAAATTTATGCTGTAATTTCTCCTTAAATTCTGAACACTGCCTTATGTCCTTGTTCCTGAAGCTCACTGCAGTGCATGGAATTCAGTCTGCTTTTGAAGAAGCTATGTCCTACTGTCGCTATCATCCGTCCAAGGGCTACTGGTGGCATTTCAAAGATCAAGAGGAACGAGGTATGATTGCTAGTTGCTCCTGTGTAAGAGAGGGAAGGTGATGAAAGCTTGAGGCAATGCACAGTGATGGTGTAGAGATGAGGTTAAGTGTTTGTCTGTCTGTCTGAAGGGTAAGTTGGTGCTCCCTGTCAGGTGGAAGGAATCTTGGTCTTCTGAGCTGGTAGGGATGAAGATGGAGGCATGGGTGGGAGGTGAAAATGGTGAGCCATGTGTCAACAAAGTAGGCAACTCTTCAACCCACTGGAGACCAGAGTACATTTGCAGAAGCCAAACCAGTTTTTCAGTAGGTGAGAATTGTCCTTAATCTGTCTTCCACAAAAAAAAAAACCAAGGCAGCAGGAAAATCTAGGTGAAGTTTAGAGGAGAGACGAATACCAACCTGTCATCCAACAGAGAGCTGCTAAGAGAACCCAGCTTCTAATACATCTTTCTCTCATTTCTGTGACTTGCAGAGAAAGCTAAACCAAAAGCCAAGAAGAAAGAAGAACCAAGTTCTATTTTCCAAAGGCAACGGGTAGATGCTTTGCTTTTAGACCTAAGACAAAAGTTTCCACCCAGATTTGTTCAGGTATGATGCTTGTAAGCCGTAGTATTGCTGTAACTTGAAACTTAAGGCAGTCGTAAGTACTTGAACAGTTGAAACCAAAGGGGAATTTTGTGTGCTTTCTGCAGTGCTAATATGATTTAAAAAATAAATTTGAAATGGAAGGCTGTGTTTGGAGTGTAGGATTCCCCTTTGTAATTGCAGGAGTCGTTAAGACCTTGGCAAAACTATGAGGGAGAATTTTATTGTACAAATTCCTTATCTACTCTTAGGGGCTCTGTTCTTGTCAGCTATCAGATTTTGCTGCTGCTTCCAGTTTCCTGGTTTGTGAGCTCAATCAAGCCACTGCAGCTATCTTGGTTTAGTTACTCCATTGTTCCTTGATGCTCGGTAATTAGTGTGGAAATTCTTGGTGTTGTGAGAAGTTGTGATTACCTCTGATCATCTTTAGTAGTGATTTATTCCACCAGATCTTCTGCTTGGAAGCAAAGGAAGCGATGTTTACTCCTCAGATGTGGGAAAGACTGGCTAACTCAGTGTTTTGCTTTAGTGCTTTTCAGTTGTCAGAGGAAAAACTGGGTATTATAAAACGTTAATTGGATTTTGCTTAAAGTGTATTTAGTGATCCCTTCTACCCTCCACTCTTATGTCTAAGAGCGCATTGCTTGATATTCCTAAGTGAATAATAGGAAGGGTTAAGAATTATGACTTTGGTTACACTAATGTGTTGGTGTTTTTTTTTTTTCCTTTCTCCCCCGCAGCAAAAGCTTGGAGAAAAGCCTATCCCAGGTCTTAATATTCTCATAAGACTTAAGCAGTGCCTTCCAGTTGCCACATGAGCTCCTTGCAGCTGCTGCGAAGGTAGTTAGGAATTCTGGCGTTGCCCAATAGTGTAGATTACTAAATAAGAGTTCTCTGTAAAACTGAAATAGTGTGTATTCTCCTCCTGCCTTTTCTGTCTGTAAAACTGTGTTGCCTGAAGGTCCGAATGCAGGAAATTCATTTAGCCCTTAGTTACTCTTATACCTTTGAAATGAATTTTGACCCTTTGACATCAGTGTTTAAGTACTCTGTACAGTATTGTATGATAAAACTCGGAGGTTTAACTTTTTTATTTTGCTTCTTAAGTGGATCAGATCAAGAAGGAACCAGAACCAGCCCCTGAAGCTGTCAAGCCAGAGGAAAAAGAGACTGCAAAGAATGCTCAACAGAGTGCTGGTGCTAAAGGACCTGAAAAACGGATGAGAGTCCAGTGAAGTGAGAAGTTATTCCACATCTGGATTAGTCAGTACCTGGAAAACAGGAGATTCTTGCTCCCCTTTCTTTATATTTAAGCTCTTCGACTGAGACTGACGATTCAGGGACTGAAGTCCCTGGAACAGCTTTTTCTGTAGAAACCTGTCACACAGATGTCAACATCAGGATATGAACTGCCTCAAAGGAGGTGTTTTCAGTCTTCATCTTATTTTGAATGTTGGCTTCTGAGAATGTTTTTTCTATGGACTATTTTGCAGTCTCCTGAAGTATTTATAAACTCTTGCATCCCTTGTGTCTTGGTTTCCTATGTAAAAAGAAAAAAGCCTTTTAGATATCAAAAAAACCCCAAACAAACAAAAACCCTCAAAACAAACTCACCAAAAAAAGAATTCTGGCAAATAAAACTTCTGGCTGCTGGAATGCCTTTCTTAAATGCTTACTTTGTTAGTAATAATTATGCCATATGTGCTGGCAGCATGTTGTGTTATTTGGGTTTTTTTTTTTTTGCTTGGATATCAGAATATATTTTGTGCTGTTTTGAAGAAAGGTTCAATAAAAGGATTTAGGCTTCCTGCTATAAATTGCTGTGCCTTTAGTATGCTTGGGACACAGATAAAAGATTGGATAACTGGAGGCTCAAATCTGTGTAATTAGATGTCAGAGTGCTCTCAGTCTGTAAATGTTCTTGAGCACTTATTTTACTTAATGGCTAAGATGGTCTTTTATTATAAAAGCTAGTGTTCTGCGAGAGAGATTTATGATGACATAAAACAGGCTAAAATGTCCTGCTGTTGCACACTCAGTGAAGCTGTTTGTATTTCTGCTTTTTTCACTGTAACTCAGATGTATCAGTTACGTACCTTCTGTGCTTCTAGCACTTTCTTGCTGCATCTGCACCTTGATTAGTCATCTGCTTTTTAGACCTGAGGAGGTAGGGCAGTGGAAGAGAAACATCACTGACAGCTGTATATTTGGCTATTTAAGCATATTGCTTATACAGACCTTTTTTTTTACGGAAAATTAGAAGTCATCCATTACAAAGAAATGCCTAATGGTTCGGTTTTGGTTTTTTTCATTGAAGTAATGGAGCAATCCTTGAAATAGGATACTTTATTTTCACAACTGTTACCTGTTTGTGGTAAGAAAGAAAAAGGTCTGTACGTGGCAAACAAAATGTAGATAGGAAGGAAGACTAAGACTTGCTTACACAGCTGTGTAAAATATATTTTGAGGTTATAAGAGGCTCTTTTTGAGTAACTAATAATCAACTCTGACTGGGAAGCTCTTGAATGATGGAAAGACCTGTATCATTTTTGTCCCGATATCCAAAGCTGTAAGGATAAAGATGTAGATAAGACAATAGCTGTTTGATGTTGATGCAGATACAGACCAAAAATTCCTGTATTGGTGTACCTGAGTGTGTATTAGCTTTATTTCAAACCATGTGGGTCAAGTTTGAACTGCTATTTCTTCCAATGTTGATAGAAGTAGATAATAAGCTAGTGTGAGATCTTAAATCAAGTGACGCTACAGAAAGCAGTTATTCTGGGATGCCCAAAACAAGACAGCTAATTATTCAGCATTGGATAATTACAGGGTAGTGTGAACACACTTAGAACGAAAGGGTGTTGATTCTTTCTTGTATTAAAGAAATCCCTCTGAAGGTGAGGAGCTCAAGAAGCACCGAAGCCATCATCTCGTCCATCCCTACGATGGAAAGGGGGGTTCTCCAGAAACGAGGCTTGAGTGGTGAGGAACCTCAAGAGTCCTTGCTGTATTTTTGATGTGCAGAATAAAGTCCTTGGAAATCACCACTGAAGGAGCTGAATTTCTCTGTAGTTACTTGTTTTATTAAGATCCTCTAGGTCATTTAGAAAAACTTAAGCAGGAAAGATGACTAGATTGCACTGTAATGAAGATCTAGGGTAGTTTTCTTTTTTGTCTGAGGGAGGAAAATTAACTACTTAGGAAAGATTTAACATTGCTAGCAGAAGAAAGATACCTTGCTTATTGCTGAGGGTACGTGCAGGTCAAAAAGGGATGCTAGAACACACAGTGTAGTGAAGTGATGTAGTGATGATTAGAGACATTCTGATGTATATGGACCGTGTGTATGTGCAACAAAATAACGTGGAGAATGTCTGCAATTTAGGCTTGATTTTTCGAGATCAAGTTGTACGCTATGGCTGTATTAGGGATCACCTGCGGCAAACTCTGCTGGATATGATTGCAAGGGAAAGGAAAGGAGAAGTTGTAGACAGAGGCGCAATAAGAAATGCTTGCCAGATGTTAATGATTCTAGGTCTTGAAGGAAGGTCAGTCTATGAAGAAGACTTTGAAGCTCCGTTTTTGGAGATGTCTGCAGAATTTTTTCAGATGGAAAGTCAGAAATTTTTAGCTGAAAACAATGCTTCTGTATATATAAAGAAAGTAGAAGCTAGAATTAATGAAGAAATAGAACGGGTGATGCATTGTCTGGATAAATCAACAGAAGAACCAATTGTGAAAGTTGTTGAGAGGGAGCTTATTTCCAAGCATATGAAACCTATAGTGGAGATGGAGAACTCTGGGCTAGTTCATATGCTGAAGAATGGGAAGACAGAAGACCTTGCCTGCATGTGCAAGTTGTTTAGCTGTGTGCCAAATGGTCTGAAGACAATGTGTGAGTGCATGAGCTCATACCTGAGAGAGCAAGGCAAAGCACTAGTTTCTGAAGAGGGAGAAGGAAAGAATCCAGTTGACTACATTCAGGGTTTACTGGATTTGAAGAGTAGGTTTGACCGCTTTCTTCAAGAATCTTTATTCTATGAAGTATTCTGTCCTGTAATAGTGTGTCTGAAAGAGAATTCTCCTAAAGTAGAAGGATTTTGATGAAGGGCAATACAATGAGTAGGAGAAAGTTTCTCCTATGAAGCCACTGGAAGGACCAAGACTTTAGTTCCTTAGGAAAGAAAAGACAAATATAGATTCTTTATAAAACTGAGTGCTGAGAAGCAAGTAGGGAAGTAGAGAACTCTTGTTCTGTGTTGTAGTACAAGAACAGAGGGACAAGTCAATGAAGCTGAATTGGAGTTATGTTTAGACTGAATTGTTACGTTCCATGCTCAGAATATGAACTGATTCCGAGATGAGGATGGACCTTGAAGGGGCAGACTGTCCTCACATCTGCATCTCCTAACAGCCTTTTAGCTTTCAGCAGAAATGTTTGGTATTGACTGGTGTCAGAGGGCATTAAAAAGGATGGACTTCTGCTCTGATCCCACCTGAGTTGAAGTGCCAGCATCTAAGCTATTGAGAGGAGAGGAAATAGATTCCATGCATGAAACGATACATTTGAATGTGATAAGTCTCTTGCAGGGGAATGATTTTTCCTGAGAGAATGGTGCTGCAAAGCAGTAAGGGATGTTACCCATGCATGTGCCTGTTTCTTAGTAGCTGTCCTTCAGTGCTGATGGTTTGCCATACAAGGGGAAGAAATACCTTCTGATGTTGTTGCTTGCTGACAAGATATTCCCAAATAATTTTATCAGTTAAGGGAGCTTTGATACTAACTTACTCAAGTGACATTGTCAGCTACTACTGTTAAGCTTCAAGTAATTTACTGTCAAAAAGCTGTTAGGCAGCTCTCTTCTAGTCAGTAATGTTTTTCAGTGTATGAGAATCGAAGCCTTTTCTTTCTGGTATTTATACACTGTCTGGTTTTTGGAGCCCAAGCACTGAAATCCAAAGTCCTTCAAAGGACCTTCAGTATTTGTAAAGCTTATAGGTGAAAGGGAAATAAGCAGGCAGTGCTGAAAATTGCCCTCCGCGTCACTTTCTGTTGCATAAAAGAGAGATTTGGTTATACAGGACAGAGAGCTATCTCTACTTTTGCTCTTAGACAATAACCATTCAGACTTCAAAAGGGCTTTTCTTGGCCTAAATCACGGGGTAGCAGGAGCTAAAAGTGACCCAGAACTCCAGTAGAAACATTGGAGTTTAGAAACAGCCTTAAAAGCACATGTAAATGTGTGTATGCATGTGAACAGATATGCATACATGTATATACAGGTGTATGCATATGTGCCCATACATGCAAAAATCCAGCCAGATCGTAGAGGGAGGGGCAGTCTGGCTACCTCAATTCACTGCGTAAAGCTAACAGTGTGTCGGATGCCAAAGAATTACTGTCTTTTTCAACTTTTCCCTACGTAAGGTCTGACCGGGCTGTGTTACTCTTGCCCATTCCTCTTCGCCGCTGCGCCCTCGTACTCCGTCTTTTGGTAACCTCTAGCTAGCAAGGAACGTTAGACGCCATTTGGGCAGTCAGTACGTGTTGTTTGCCAAAGCAAGATGTACTTGGAGCAAGGTTAGAAGGGCACAGGCGAGAGGAGGGACAAGGCAAAGAGGAGCGATTGGCTTTGAGACACGGAGGTTCCCTGTGAGAAGTAGAGCGGAGATCTGTTGTGTGAGTAGCCTGTGGCTTCCCTGAACCAGCAGATCTGTTGGCTTCTGAACAAAAGCTGATGTGATACACTTTTTCAGTTGTTTTCAAAGTAAACGGTGATAACTAGGCATTCAGGGTTCAAGACAGTTCTTTTTCCTTAGGGAGCAAGGTGAATTTTTGATCGTGTTGCTTTTGTCCCGTCATCACGCACAGAACAAACAAACAAACGGTCACTTATGTGACAAGTGTCCTTCTGTAGCCTAATGTGGATCACAGATGGATGGGCGGTGGGGAGAAATTTTCCCAGTGGGAGGAGTTATGATGAGTTACTGATCTCTCAGCAATCAGAAGGCTTCATTTCTTACTGCCAGGCCAGTAAATTTCAACCTGTCGTCCACAAGGCTGCTGGGGTTCTGTGACCTCTTCCTAAAGACTCAACAGAAGGGAAGTGAGAAAAGTAAGCCTCTTGCTGTCAGGATTCAATTCCATAGGAGTTTGCACCTTCACTGGAAATTTAGAGGGTAAGGTCAGTCATTTTTATTCTTCCTACCTGTTCATTGTCATATAATGGGAATCTTTCCCTCCCTCCCCTTGGATCTTTACCTGATCAGAGTAGAGAAGTGCAAGGGTCTGGTAACCTGAACACGACTCTGTCATCCCTTTTCACGGAACCTCGATGCTGAAGGGCTCGCTTAGGTGCTCAGCACAGTGTTGCAAACTTAGGTTGGCGCTTTCCCCAGAGAATAACCTGACGTGAGCTCAGGAACAGAACCAGCGTGCTTTCTAGCCCCAACTATAGAG